GCAGCCTATCCCATCTCCCCTAGGCAAATTTCCTTCAGATACAAGAGCAGGACAACCCAAATGCCCAGCCCACCTTTGGTCAAGGAATTTGTGAATTGCAAATGTCTAACAGTTCTCTTAATCCCCTTCAGGTTAACCTAATCAGCCCTCTGTGAACTACGTGACACAGATAAGCCCCACCATGACAGCAATCATGTGACTAACCCACCCATCTTCCTGCTGTCCATCATCTGACATCATCAGTACCTGTGCTTGCCTGCCCCTTTGTGATGATGTAGAAGCAGACCACCACCCAATCACCCTAATGATCTTCCCCCATCAAGGGGAATGGTTAAAAGGATTCAACCACAAGCAACCAGGGGCCATTGCCTTGCTAGAGTCTGGTGCAGCCATGTGCTCTTTGAGCCATGGCTGTCGCCATGCTTCCTGGCTTTGGTCCCCCTCCCCCACCTTGGGGAGGTGAATCTTCTCTTTCTCTCTCTAATTTATTTCTAAGTAAACTTTTCTTTCTTAACCATTTTGTGTGTTGCAGTTCTTTGCAATTTACTCGGATCTCTGGGTTGCCAGCGCGCACCTCTGGCTTACCAGCCCCAGCAGTGCTGCGCGCCTCCCAGCGTCTCTCGACCCTCATCCAGTCCATCTGTACCCTAACACCACAGACATAAATAATTGTCGTTATTATTCTTGTAAGGGTAAGTAGTTATATTTGTAAAAAGCACTTCAGATTGGAAATGAGTTTATCAACATCATAAATTGACACAAATGGGCTATATGTTCATTACATTTATATGGGAGAGGAAATATAGGAATAAAAGCAAGAGACAAAAGTCCTAGTCCTATGTTTATAACACATTCTAGAAATATCTGTAAGCCAGGAAACCTATATGCAGGAAATTATCACCTGGTGTTTGTATTACCACCCCCACTCATAAAATAAAAACATGGGAATGATTTTATAGGGAAAAATTCAAAGTTTGAAGATGTTGCCAGTTGGGGTAGAGTGCAACGTTCATGGGGTTTTGACCCACTACTGGAAGGAATTTCAGAGTGACCAATACAGTTTTAAAACAGTTTATTAGAAAGAGACAGAGAGATAGCTGGGCCTGGTAATATGTGTCTGTAGTTGAGAGAGAGAGAGAGAGAGAGGAGAGGGGAGAGGGAAGAGGGCAGAGGAGAGAGAGGGAGAGAGAGAGGAGAGAGAGGAGAGTGGAGAGAGGAGAGAGAAACTTGATATAGCTACTTAGTGATTAATATGTTAATAATATGTTAATGAGCGGGCTACAGGTATCTGCTGCTCTGAAGAGATTACCATCTCTCTTACTCTGATGGGTGAGGGGGTGGCTTTTTCCCAGAACATGCATTTTACCTTGATAGACTGGTCAGACTTTATGACTATGTTAATTTATGAGCTAAAAGGTGGTCTAATACAATTTTTTTCTTTTTGAGTTGGAATCTCACTCTGTCATTCAGGCTGGAGTACAGTGGCATGTTCACAGCCATTGCTGCCTCAACCTGCTGGGCTCAGGTGATCTTTCTGCTTCAGCCTTCCAAGTAGCTGGAACTACAGGCACGTGCCACCACACCCAGCTAATTTGTTTTTGGATTCATTGTGGAGATGAGGTTTCACCATGTTGTCCAGGCTGGTCTCGAACCCATGGGCTCAGGCAATCCTCTCACCTCCACCTCCCAAAGTTCTGGGATTATAGATGTGAGCCACCATGCCCGGCTGATTATCATTTCTATAGCTTCTGATTCAGGTCCAGAGACCACCTTGATGGGCTTTTCTATGGGGGGGCCAGCCCCTGCAGAGAGATTTAGAGGGTCCCTGAAAGGTGGGGCAGCGCTGGCGATTATTCTGGAGAAATAAAGAGAAAGAAAGAGAAAAGGGGAGAAAGAAAGAGACTGGACTCTGTCTAGTGCAGAAGCCAATTTAATGGGACAAACCGCAAACCTTTTATCCGAAAGTTTCACAGGCAAGATAGCAAGATTTTCACATGAACACAAAGCCAGGTGGATGAGGGGTGTCCCCTCACCCACCAGGTGTTTCCTCAAGCATGAGGAAGGACAATCCCAATATTATTTCACTCTTTGTTATGCTTGGTTAATGTTCCTCACAAACAATACAACAATTCTAACATCATAATATTCTAATAATCAATAACTTCTAAAACTTATTCATTCCCAACACCTAATGACTGACTTAAATACTAATACCTTTCTATTCTGTGCTAATTTTACGTATACTATAAAAAACTCTTAATAATAGCTCAAACCAGTTCCTAAAGAATGGTCCAGTCCAAAGATCACGCTGGGCCGTTTCCAGGAACAGTTGATTATAATCTCTTAACAAAATGGCTATTCTAAAATCCTATGTATCTATCTTAATTTCTATAAAAGTTTCTAATTCCTAATCCTAATATATAAAGCTGATCATCAGCAATAAAACTTCTAAAATAAAACCCCAATACAAACTGTAATTGTACTAAAGCCAAAACCACAATTAGTAGAAAGTGGGAACAATGAAATTTCTAAAGTTAGCTGTATTCTTATAAAACTTCAATATATCATGTTTGATCATGCTTGAACTAACATAATTCCCTGACATAGCATGACCTATTCTACAATACTTTCTATGAATAAAATAAATTCAGTTTCTATTATAAGTAGAAAAAACCCTACACTAATTGTAACTGAAGAACCAGTTTAAAAGAATGCAGCCCAGCCCAAAGTGGACACTGGGCTCTTAGGAATGTGGCCCAGTCCAAAGTTCGTGCTGGGCCATTTCTGGTAACTCTAGATAATCATCTATACTGTCTAAAGCTGGAAACAGCTCTCTAAATGTATATACTAATTCTACAAATATACTTTTAAATCTTATAAAGAATCTTATATCATATATAAGGCTCCCAAATGTGACCTGAGTTTGAACTGTGTTAAGTTTAAAGCCAAAACCTCAGTCTATGAGAAACGGGAACAATGGATCCCTAGAGTCAGCCATGCCTGTTATATTCTCAGAACTTCATGCTTAGATCATCAAAGTCCCTGCTAGTGGGTCATGCCAAACAACAAAGAAGGGAGGAGGGAATGGGCCTTCAGCTCCTGAACCCAACCTGGTGGTCTCAGGGTCCACAGCCCGCCTGGATCTCTAACGCTCAGGTGGGCCTCCACGGCCGGCTCCCAACACTTTTCCTCTGATGACCTGAGGGAGTTGGGTGGACATTGGGTCCACATCGAGTCCACATTCCAACCCACAGGGCAGTTTGGCCTGCAGACGCTTTCCTATTTTAAACTAAAAACTGTCTACAAGAAATTTCTCTATTTATGTCTAACCAACACTGATTACCCTGCCTCAAAAATATGGTACCTATTGAGATGTTTCTAAATGTTAGAAAGTAAGTTGTTTTGCAGTAGAAAGAGAAAACGTTGGATTGATTTTATTGAGAAATTAGAGAAATCACTGTTTAGTTTGCTTTAGAACAACAACAAAAGTGAGTGATATGTTTAGAGGCAGTATGACAATGGCAATTCAGGACCTCTCCCTGGGTTCATTTGTGAATCACAGAGACACTCCACATCACAGAGTCTGAACTCCATATCACAGTGGAACAGAACACACTTTCCTCCAAATAATGATAGATTTATATTTATTAAAAAGGACTGAATGATGATCTTGACAGAAGAGTACTGTTCTATAGGTACAGTGTTCATAAGAAAGTTTTATGAAAAATTCACGTTCACAAACTCTCACACAGCTTCCCACAGAACAAAATTTTGCATATAGTTTATAACAGTTTAAGTCCTCTCTCACACACACATGATTTTTTTATATTTTCCTAGATTCCAAAGCTCTTTCTTTTGGGAGTTCCCCTTGTTTGTATTGCACAATTCCAAGAAGCATTGCAATTGCAGTCTACCCATATTTCCTTGGTCCTGTGTCTTGTTAACCCTTCACATGCTGTTTTACTTTTTTTCTTTTACTCTTGATACTTCTCTTAGATTTTATGACTAATTTACTAAATAGTGCAGGGTAGGGAGAAGCCATATGGTGATTAAAGTATTGTGGTGGATATTTGTTGGTTGCTTGCCTAGTTTCCACTATCCCTTCTTCCTTACAACATTACTCTATTTCCTACAAGAGACTTTAAACTTACTTGACTTTCAGCCAGATTTTTTTTTTTTTCAGAATTCATCTACTTCAGGGGCTGGTTGTGATAGTGACAGAGATAAGCCTGTTAGCATATTCTTTTCCCCTGGCCTCAATAATTGATTCAGGGACAGATGTATAGCTCAATCAAAGCTAATTAGATGGAAGGAGCTATTTGCTAGGGCTTCTCCAACTTTCTGTTTGAGCTACTAGAAATTATTCACTCCTTCCTGCTGCATGTAAAAGAGGTACCAGACAGTGAATAGAATAGCAAATCTCTAGCCTCATGGAGCATAGGTTTTACAGAGAAGCAGGCAGTAAAGAAGATATATTAGATGCTGTTCAGAATAAGGAGAAAAATAAAGAAGAGAAGGGCAAAAAGGAGTGCTTTTTTTTTTTAAAAAAGCTATTTTACATAGAGGGAAGGAGGTCCAGAGAAGGTCTCATTGACTTTTGCTTATTTAATAAAGACCTGAAGGAATGAGGCAATGTTTGGGGAAAAGCATTCCAGATAGAGGGAACAACATATGCAACATTCCTGAGATGGGAGCATGCCTGGAATGTCTGAGGAAGAGCTTTGAGGCCAGTGTGACTGCAGTAAAGTGAACAGGCAATATGAGGTCAGAGGTACCAGGAAGAAAGGTCTGCATACGCCTTTATAGACCACTATGAAGACTGTAGCTTTTACTCTGAGTGAAATGGGAAGCCATTGGAAGTTTTAAGCAGAGAAGTGACATGGTATGACTTAGATTATAGTAGGATATTCTGGCTGATGTGTTCAAAGGAGGAAAGAGTGTGTGAGGGTTAAAAGAGCAGTATAATTCTTTATCACTAGGAGTGAGACAGGAGCTAAAGAGATGTGATAGAGATTATTTATTCATCCGATAATGGTTAGACCACATAACCTCTGAGATCTCCACAAACTCAGATACTCCCATTCTATAACTCTAAATTCAAGGGTCTCTATGCATAGACTTAGGACAATTATAAACAAGATTCATGATCTCAGGGAAATCTTCAAGTGGTATGTTTCAGTGGTATGTTTATTAAACAAATGCTCATGACAGATTTTCACAACAGCAACAAATGCTATTTCACAACATCAAATCTCCCTTACTAAGGAAAGAAAATGACAATAAGATCAAAGTTGATGGATTTGGATTATTTTTTCATGTTTTCTGGGAGTAAAACCCATGTATCCTCACATATTTTTCTCTGTTTCTTTATTTTGGAGATTATCTGCTTTCATTTTCTTTGCCTCCTCTCTGGCCATGTGTCCCCGGAAGGCAGCTTGGATTTTGACAGCAGCAACCTCCTCTTTTTCCTTATTTTCTTCAGAAGATTCCTTCATTGAAAAGAGAAAATGTCAAACAGCCCCATTAAAAAGTGGGCAAAAAGACATGAATAGACACTTCTTGAAAGAAGATATACGGGCAGCCAACAGACACTTTCATAAGTGCTCAGCCTCACTCAACATCAGAGAAATGCAAATCAAAACCACATTGAGATACCACCTAACCCCAGGAAGAATGGCCATCATTAATACAAAAAACAACAGATGCTGGGGAGGATGTGGAGAAAAAGGAAGGCTTCTCCACTGCTGGTGGGAATGCAAACTAGTGCAACCTTTCTGGAAGACAGTGGCAATTTCTGAAAGAACTAAAATTGACCCTCCATATGACCCAGCAGTTACCCTATTGGGAATATACCCAGAGGAACTCAAATCATTCTACCAAAAAAATACCTGCACATGTATGTTTGTTACAGCTCTATTCACAACAGCAAAAACATGGAACCAACCATGTTGCCCATCGAAGCTGGACTGGATTAAAAAAATGTACATATACACAGTGGAATATTATGCAGCCACAAAGAAAGACAAACATATGGACTTCACAGCAACTTGGATGGATTTGGAGTCGATCATACTCAGTGATCTATCACAGAAACAAAGAAGAGCGTACCATATGTTCTCATTCATAAGCAGACCTTGAGCAATTATAATACTATAAGAAAGGGATTGGCAGTAGTGAGAAACTATCAGGGGAGGAGGGTGGAATTGGCAGTTGAGGGAAACTGCTAGGGGAGGGAGGGGCATACCTCATCAACAAGGGTACCTACAAATTCAACGTTTGTATACCTAACCCTGAATTGTACCCCACATCTTTACAATAAAAAAATCTGCCCCCCAAAAAAGAAAAGAGAAAAAATAAGACACTTCTTAAACATCTCAAATTTTTGAAGGCATAAAAATAAATGCATACAATGTAATCAATTTAGGGTGCCACTATCTGAGATCTGTTGCTTCCTAAGGGAACTTTCTATATTGTCACATTGTATATGTACCAAATGGTGAATGCCAAAATAGCAGGCATTTTGTTTTGTCACTTTTTAATATGTCTCTGCAATAAAAGATCATTGCCAACTTTATCCCCTCAAAATAGCTCCTATTTAACAGTTTCCTGAGCAATAACATTTTTTTGGGGGGGAAACAAAGAAGAATACTTGAAACATGGTAAAAATGTTAAGAATAGTAAATGTGCTGTTTTAAAATAATCATGATTACATTAGATGAATTTAAATTCTAAGTTTTCAATTTTCCAGTAATTCACTAACCAAAATCATTAAAGTTGAGCGCCAAAGAAAAATCCATTTGGTCTAGTAATATCAGTTTTAGTGTGGTTGGTTGAACTTTGGTATGTAGTGTCTTCTTTTTTTTTTTTTAATCTAGGATAATTTAAAGATAGTGATATGCATGAATCTTAAGTGTACAATTGAATATATAGTTTTTAATATATCGTTTATATTATAAAAATGATATGTACACATTTAAAAAACTGAAATATCACTGGCAATGAAAGTCTTCTTCCCCTTTCCAAATCCTATCCTAGAAGATAACCATTATTATGGGTTTAGTGTCTATATCCTTCCCAAAATTTCTCTATATGCAAATATATTCATATAGGTATATATATACCTTTAAATTTTAAAAACAAGATCATGCTAATTACAGTATTCTGCAACTAGTTTTTCAATATAACAATAAATCTTGGTTCTGTTTTTTCTATGTTATTATTCAATGTATAATTCTACCCATTTTTAAATGATATTATTTGGGTTGTTATTAAATGATATTATTATTATTATTTTAGTTGTAGTCTCACTCTGCTGCCCAGACTGGAGTGCAGTGGCCGCTCCCGGCCACTGCAGCCTTGACTGACGGGGCTCTGGTGATCCTTCCGCCTCAGCCTTCCAAGTAGCTGGAACTACAGGTGCGTGCTACCACACCCGGCTAATTTTTTGATTTATTGTAGAGATGAGGTCTCGCCAAGTTGCCCTGGCGGGTCTTGAACCCACAGGCTCAGGCATTCCACTCACCTCAGCCTCCCAAAGGTGCGAGATTACAGTCTGAGCCACGAGCCTGGCTAAATGATATTATTATTTGGGTTGTTCAAGCCCTCCCATCTCCCTAAAATTAGGCAAATTTAGCACTTAAACTCTTAAATGTGGAAAGAATGGCACAAAATTATCTGAGATGATATCCTGATATGGGAAAATGAATTACATGCAAGTTGGAAATGAATGAGATCCCAACTCAAACTCATGAAAACCTGTTCAAGGGCATCTATGAAAGAAATGATACTCCTTTTTTCCTTGACCTCCCCTTTCATCTTCTGCTAATGTTAGGCTTATTAAATTGTATTGATATAATTCTGGAATAACTTGTAAATGTTATAGGGAAAAGCACTGCCTCACTGGGTAGGAGGTAAGATATTCCTTAAGGGTGATATCCATTTTGGGTTTCAGTCATTGGGCAACTACCTGAGAAATTAAGACACGAAAAAGAAGTCAGAAGTTGGGATTTCCACATTGCAGAGAGTGACTTCTTCTTTCTTACAAGGTCTGGTACTCTTGAGTCTGGACTATGAGGAATATAGACAATGATGTGCTGCTAAATGTTTAGCAATTGGCTCTCTAGACAAAAAAAAAACAAAAAAAAAAGCCCTAATATGCACTGTTTTCCATGGTCTTAATATTCCCACTGTGACCGATCTCAAGCTATCAAAGTGAAATGACTGAACTAGGCCTTGGGTAGAAATATGCACAATCATCTCTTGAGAGCTGGCTCTAACACACCACTGAATATAGGTATCTTTGAGGGTGAATTTCCCTATGTCTTCCACTGCTTGGGTGTAGAGTATCAGGAAGGCATTTTTGTAGAGGGCTATGCATGGAAGATGAATAAGCTACATTGTGTAAAGCCATTGTATTTGGCTGTATGTAATTCCCTGTGATTTTCTTTTTGTTATCTCTGGATCCTTTGCCATTGTGTGGTGGTGATAGGATAAATTAGTGAAAAATCCCTAAAATGGAAGATTAATCTGAAGCATCAAGACTGGGGCTATGAGTTCCATTTGCTCTTCTCCACAGGGAGATTTTCCATCCATTAAAAATCTTGAAAAATAAGATTTTACTTTTAAGAGGAAGAGTGAGTCTTCCTCCATAAGAGGTATGGCTGAAAAGGATCCACAAGTTAGTTTATTGCTGATATTACTTATTACTGATATTAATTACCTAGAAAGCAAAAGAATAATTTTTAACAATATAGATAACAGACTGATTCATATTTGGAGTACAGTTTTAAGTTGGGTGATATCATTGTTTGTAGGAACCCAGTAGTACATGAAAAATACTACATACTAAGGTGGTGACTGGGGTCTCTTTCCCTTCCACAGTCTGAGACTTTCCTTGTTCAGGCTCACATTTCTCAGGTGATCCTTGCTCCTGGAGAGAGAGGAGAGGTTCAAATTGGCAGTTTCCAAAATAGTAAAGTCTTGGACCAAACTGCTTAAAGGAAATTAAATGTTATTTTAAGTTATTGAGAAATAGAGGTAATTAAATATTACATACTTATAATTTAACAAGGAAAGTACATTGAAACAAGAAGAAATAAAAGTTCTCCAGGTAGTGTGTGTAAACAAATATCAAAGACCAATAAATCAGTAAAAATATTTGATCTTTTGCTTTGGGGATGTGTGTGCCACTGTTTTATGTTAAAAACAAACCATTGTCTTATACTATAGGTTAATAAGATGCTGTAATGAATTCTGACCAAAGTATAAAAATAAGTGCTATAATAGTTTCTAAAATAGGACTAAAATAAATGCCAGGCAGGGCTTGGTGGCTCAGTCTGTAATCCTAGCACTTTGGGAGGCGGAGGCGAGTGGATTTCCTGAGCCCACGGGTTAGAGACCAACCCAGGCAACTTGGGAAGACCTCATCTCTACAATAAAATAAAAATAGATGGGCATGGTAGTGCGCATCTGTAGTTCCGGCTACTCAGAAAACTGAGGTAGGAGGATCGCTGGAGCCTAGCAGATTGATGCTGGGGTGGCCATGAGCATGCATGCCAGGGCACTCCAGGCTGGGCGAAGGAGTGAGACTCCAACTAAAAAATAAATAAATAAATACATAAATAAATAAAATAAAATCCAGTTTGTTTCATAGCGTGATGTCAAGTTGACTCCTTAATGAAGTTTTTGGATTAAAACTAAGTCAATCACTTGTATTCAACATTGTACTGGAAGTACTAGTAAGAGCAATCAGGCAAGATAAATAAATACAAGGCAACCAGATTGAAAAAGAGGAAGTCAAACTACCTCTGTTTGCTGATGACATGATTGTATATCTAGAAAACCCTAAAGACCCTCCCAAAAGACTATTAGACCTGATAAACAACTTCAGTAAAGTTTCAGGATACAAAATCAACACACAAAAATCAGTAGCCTTTGTATACACCAATAATACTCAAACTGAGAACCAAATCAAGTGATCAATTCCATCTACAATAGTCAGTCTCTCTCCCCCTCCCCCGCACCCCCTATACACTTAATCAAGGAGGTAAAAAATTTCTGTGAAACAATGATAAAAGAAGTTGTAGGTAACACAAATGGAAGAACATCCCATGCTTATGGATCAAAATATTCAATCAGATGACCACAATGGCCAAAACAATATACAGATTCAATGCAACACCTATCAAAATACCAACATAATTTTTCAAAGAGCTAGAAAAAGTAATCCTAAAATTTATATGGAACTAAAAGTGAGCCCAAATAGCCAAAGGAATCCTAAGTAAAAAGAATAAATGTGGAGGCATCACATGACCTGACTTCAAATTATACCACAAGGCTATAGTAACTAAAACAACATGGTACTGATACAAAATTATACAGATATATCAGTGGAACAGAATAAAGGACCCAGAAATAAAGCCACACACCTATAAACCAATTGATCTTCAACAAAGCCAAAAAAAAAAAAATAATAAAATAAACAATGAGGTAAGGATACCCTATTCAATAAATGGTGCTGGGAAAATTGGCTAGCCATATCCAGAATAATGAAATGGAACCCCTATGTCTCACCATATGCAAAAACTAACTCAAGATAGATTAAAGACACATGTAAGACCTGAAATGATAAACATCCTAGAAGAATACTGAGGAAAAAAATCTCTAGACATTGACCCAGGCAAAGAATTTATGATGAAGATTCCAAAAGCAAATGAAATAAAAATAGACAAAGGGACTTAATTAAACTAAAAAGTTTCTACACAGCAAAAGAAATAATCAACAGAGTGAACAGAAAACCTACAGAATGAAGGAAATATTTTGCATAATGTGCCTCAGACAAAGGACTAATAGCCAGGATCTACAAGGAACTCAAACAGCTCAACATGAAAAGAACCAACAAAAAGTGGGCAAAGATGAATAGACACTTCTCAGAATAAGACATAGAAGCAGCTATGACACACACACACACACACACACACACACACACACACACACACACACACACACACATGCTCATCAGAGAAATGCAAATTAAAGCTACAAATGGTATCATCTTACAAGAGTCAGAATGGCTATTATTAAAACGTCAAAGAACAACAGGTTTTCTCCTGGAGGGAGGGCCAAGATGATCGAATGAAGACATAACATGATTGTTGTCTCAGCAGAGAAACCTATACGGCGGAGCGGACCTAGGCCTCTTAGGTTCAGCCTGAAAACCCAAGCTGAGGCTTATTGAACGGTCACCTGGGGATGTAGAGGTAGTTATAAGCCCCAGACACCCCTAGAAGCAACCCCATGATGAGATTAAGAGAGTGTTCTTGGAGAAGGAAGGGGTGAGTGCAAGCAACAGCTTTTGTTTTCTCTCACAAACCTCTGCAGTCCCAGCCAAGGGAGAGATAGTTCAAGTCCTTCCTCCCCTCCCCCTACCCTGCTGGCCAGGTGTAGAGAGCTGTCCTGAATTGAGACAGAGGCACCAGCAGGATCCATGTGCAGTCCCCAGTTTCCGGGGAGTCCCTGTGCCAAAGGCTGCCAATCACCCCATGGAGAGGCTCTGCAGGAAACACCCTGGGGTGGACTGAGTTATGTGGTGCTCCCTTCTGTCTCCCTCTTCAGCAACCAGCAGGGGTGACATGCCCACTTTGAGGATATTTCTCTGGCACCAGTATTGATTGTGGCCCAAGATAAGGGCTGCAGATAGGGACTGCTCTTAGGGGGCTGTCATCATTGCAATAGCCCCTCCCAAGGAGCAGGGCAGACTAGGAGATGGGGCACCACTGCCCAGTGCAACCCCTGTGCTCCACCCACCTGCAGACTGAGGGAGAAATATCAACTCTCCACTGCAGAGACAGCTGCTTCCCTTATATCCCTGGGCTAAAGGGGTGGTTCCACCTAGATGGGAGGAGCCACTCCATGCTCCCAAGAGCACCTATGCCAGAGTAGAGCTACAGAGCCCCTCCTGGTGGATTGCCAATCCTGCTGACCAAGCACACAGACTAGAGAAGGGGCCACCTGGACAGCCACGGCCCCTAGTGCTTGTGCTGGAGGGAGGAGAAAGCCTCTGAACTAGAGGAAAGGACTTGTCTCACCCCCACCAGACTGCACCAGTAAAGCAGTGACAGATGGTTTCCCTCCAGTTCACCACCCTTCATACCACCACTGCCCCTCCTACAGGTAGACCAGAGGAGGGAGGGCAGGTAAAAAAAAAACTGCCACCTCATTAGTAACAACTTTATCTACTAAAAAAAACAACAAAACATAAAAAAAGAGAGCATCTGCCTTCACAAATGAGAAAGAAACAGTGAAAAAACACTGGCAATTCCCAAAGTTTTTTTTTTTTTTTTTGAGTTGGAGTCTCACTCTGTCACCCAGACTGGAGTGCAATGGCTGCTCCCGGCCACTGCAGCCTCGACCTGCTGGGCTCCGCGATCCTTCCACCTCAGCCTTCCAAGTAGCTGGAACTACAGGAGCGCGCTACCACGCCCGGCTAATTTTTGATTTGTTGTAGAGATGAGGTTTCGTCAAGTTGCCCAGGTGGGTCTCAAACCCGCGGGCTCAGGCAATCCACTCACCTTGGCCTCCCAAAGGCTGAGCCACCGAACCCGGCCTGGCAATTCCCAAAGTTTTAATGAGTCAACACCCATAAAGGGGCTTCCCAGATTCCAAGCAATGAAACCCATCCAGAATGACCTGTCCCTGATGAGAGACATAGAATTCAGACTACGGATGACAAAAACATGGAATGAATTCCATCAGAAAGTGGACATGCAAATGATTCAGGCCACAAAAACAGTGCAGGAAGTGAATGCTGACTTGGTCATTTTAAGAAAGAACCAAACTGAACTTCTGGAGATGAAGAACATCTTCTGGAATTTCAAAACACAACAGCAAGCCTTAACCCCAGAATCAACAGGCAGAGGAAAGAACCTCAGAACTTGAAGCTCGAATTATTGAACTAATCCAGTCTGACAAAAAACAAGAAGAAAAGACTTAAGAAGAATTAGTAAAGTCTATGATAGGTCTGGGATTATGTAAAGAGACCAAATATATGGTTGATTATCATCCATGAGGGAGAAGGAGAAACTGAGAATACCCTGAAACAGTCTTCCAAGAAAACTTCCCTTATCTCACTAAGGAGGTAGCCATGCAGACACAAGAGATTCAGAGAATTCCTGTGAGGTGTTATGCAAGAAGACCATCCCCAAGGCACATAATAATCTGACTTGCCAAGGTAAGCATGAAAAACAAATCCCAAAGGCAGTTAGAGAGAAGGGACAGAGCACCTATCAAGGAAAACCTGTCAAAATTTCATCAGACTCTCAGCAGAAATCAGAAGGAACTGAGGTGTCATCTTTAACATTCTTAAGGAAAAACAATTCCAGCTAAGAATTTCCTACCCATCAAGTTAAGCTTCAGTAATGAAGGAGAATTAAAATCCTTCCTAGACATCCAACCTCTAAGAGAATATATCACCCCCAGACCAGTCCTTCAGGATTTGCTTAAGAAAGTTCTAACCACAGAAATGAAAGAATGGTTCCACCCATTGCAAAAGCACAGGTAAACACAGAGTTTACAGACCATACAAATTAACCACAAAGCATAAAACACAAAGCAGTCTTTGAACAGCAATATGATAGGAACAAACTCCCACATATCAATAATTAAATGTGAACAGACAGAATGTGCCACTCAAAAGGCATAAGGGGGCAAATTGGATAAAGAAGCATGATCTATCCTTCTCTGCCTTCAGGAAACCCATCTCACTGCAAATGATATCCACAGGCTCAAGGCAAAGGGCTGGAGAAAGATCTTCCAGGAAAATGGAAGACAAAAAAGAGAAGAACATAGCTATTCTTATATCAGACAAAACAGATTTTAAACCAATAAAAGTTAAAAAAGACAGTGAAGGACACCACATGATGATAAAAGGCT